TGGAATTGATATGGGGATGTCAAGACCTTGATAATAAACAAACAGGCATATCACTAACCTGTTGTTAGCCTTGGTTAATATTTCGAAGACCTGCTGAAGATAAGTAAGGCACTGAAGGTTGCTGAGAAAGGGATACAAGCTTCTGCAGCTCTCAACCTGGGAGTCGAATCTTCTCACAACAGCAGACCTGTCGACAACAGTCAAGAATTACTTCAACAGGGATACATCAGGAAAAACAATGATATTTCAAAACTAATTTAAGACAGCATTGTATAAATCAAGTAATAGGTTATATACCTTAGTCCTTTTCTCAATGGCCCAAGACGGTGGCTGCCCTGAGGAATATCATCAAAAGAACTAATACAGTACAACAACAAAAAACAAAACAAAAACAAAAAACGCTGAGATCTTCTACTTTACTTTTTATATAAATATTAAGACAGAGAAACTCATACTCTTGCGTGCTAATTTAATAAAAAATCCTCATCATTATTGCTCTATTCTGCCGATATATGTCAAAATAGCATATTCCTCCATTTCTTTGGCCTCGCTCATCAAAGTACATTTTAGGGCTACTTTTGAAATCCTACTAACAAATAATCACACATAAAAGCTTGACTTACCTGGCCATATCCAAAGCCTGTTTGGCAATACTCAAGTGGCCATCTTTGAGCAAGACCATAGATCTGTACAAGGACTGGTGGAACAGGGGCAGTTCACTCTGCCTGCTTGTAGATGTAAGGGAGAATCCTCTTAGATATAGCCTTTTTTTTTTTTTTAGATCTAAGTACAAAAATAACTAATGAAATTAAAAGAGTATAGGAGCTATATGGAGTGGGAAAGCTAAGTGGGGAGTGGTGCTAAGTGAAATGGGACAGCCAAGTGGAGCTGGAGAGCTAAGAGGAGTGGGGTATTTAAGTAACCTGCAACAGTGTTTTTCATTTGATCAGCAGTGACAAAGTCCAAGTAAGCTACCAAAAATATTTTGCCTAATCATGTAACAGGGTAGGGTATGTAGTTTTACCGGTGCTTTATCAATATCCTACCACATATGACGTCATAGGACAGTCCAATATTTTAGAGGATGGTAAGACTGGGATCCCCAGCTTTATGATGCTTTTAACGCCCCCAAAACATCTAGAACTGGCCCTAACCCGAACACACCTAGTTCCCCGAGAGAGTTCAGCCTAGGTCTCACGACTGCATGCAGCTTATCTACCACTTCCTGAAATACTACACTGTCCCGTGACCTGTGGATTTCCGCTATTTGGGGTAGGATATTAATAAAGCACCATTTTACATTTTCACAATTGCAGTCTGTAGGATTTAACACCCTAAGAATGAGAATCAAACAGGTGCAAACTCTGGAAATCACATTCAACCTCACAAAACAGTTATATTGCAACACCTGACAGTTATGTAATCTATTGTTCAGTCTATGATTCCTGCAAAGTGTATGTGGCATTGTACTTGTCAATTTTATTTCTGTGTTTTTTTTATCTATCAGGTCGCCTGCGAAACAAAATTCCTGGTTTGGTGGGCAGCGGGTGTGAAAGTTTGAGAAACAATGGCGTAGGAGATCTCAGTGGAGGAGCTACATGGAGTGGACAAGCTATGTGGAGTGGACAAGCTATGTGGAGTGGAGGAGCTACGTGGAGTGGACAAGCTATGTGGAGTGGAGGAGCTACGTGGAGTGGACAAGCTATGTGGAGTGGAGGAGCTACATGGAGTGGACAAGCTATGTGGAGTGGACAAGCTATGTGGAGTGGACAAGCTATGTGGAGTGGACAAGCTATGTGGAGTGGAGGAGCTATGTGGAGTGGAGGAGCTACGTGGAGTGGACAAGCTATGTGGAGTGGACAAGCTATGTGGAGTGGACAAGCTATGTGGAGTGGACAAGCTATGTGGAGTGGACAAGCTATGTGGAGTGGACAAGCTATGTGGAGTGGACAAGCTGTTGGAGTGGAGGAGCTACGTGGAGTGGACAAGCTATGTGGAGTGGACAAGCTACGTGGATTGGACAAGCTATGTGGAGTGGACAAGCTATGTGGAGTGGACAAGCTACGTGGAGTGGACAAGCTATGTGGAGTGGACAAGCTATGTGGAGTGGACAAGCTACGTGGAGTGGACAAGCTATGTGGAGTGGACAAGCTATGTGGAGTGGACAAGCTATGTGGAGTGGACAAGCTGTGTGGAGTGGAGGAGCTACGTGGAGTGGACAAGCTATGTGGAGTGGACAAGCTGTGTGGAGTGGATAAGCTATGTGGAGTGGACAAGCTGTGTGGAGTGGAGGAGCTACGTGGAGTGGAGGAGCTACGTGGTGTGTGGATGATATGGGGGTTAAGACCGATGCAAAGTGTGATTATAGAATTCCTGGGTATCACTTGTGTGTAATGGTGTCCTAAACTCTGGACACACAGGCAAATAAGAAAATACATATTTAAGAAATTAAATTTGTTAATAACATTTTAAATAGCTGGAATTTAAGTAATGTTTCTTCACTATGATTTTCATCATTTGCAATGCAAAGGTTGATTGGCTTTGCAAAATTCACACGAACTCGTAATGAATCCAAATTGCCAACAACTTGAGCGCATTAACTCTGTGTTGAGACTTTAGATGTGGTAAAGAATGTGCGACTACGAAAAAGTGAAGAAAGCCTTTGTTTCCAGATAAAACTAGCTGCAAGAATTATTGCAAGTACCATCGCCCGGCTCTCTAGTGTAGTTGGCTAAACCCGATTGCACGGTGACTGGGTGACGAACTCCTTGTGGTCCGGGTTCACTCCCGGGGGTAGGCAGAAAAGCCGCATTTCTCCCAGATTTACGGGAAAGGTTGCGATATCCACAATACCAAGCCTAAGGGTTAACAACTCATGGCTTCTGGATTCTAAAACAAAACAAACAAACATTGCAAGTACCATCATAATCTTTCATCACGAAGAAGGTTTTCTGCAGAATTTTGCTCTTTTACAGCCCCACCCTGGCTTTTGCTGGGGGCCCTGAATATGGCCGGGCCATAAATATGGCCTAACGGTTAAAAGGGGTTTCTGGGACCTCTGCACAGGTGATCCTCATCCGCATGGTGGCACTTTGTGTCACCTAGTGTTTATCACTTGTGTGATGTCCTGGTGGGGTACAACTACTTACCTACCTTTTACATTCTGCTAAAAAGGAATCAATCTTTTCCATTCCCTTGGTCAAGTGGATCATGAAAGTCTTTAGGCGTACAGACTTTCATATCAACCAATAAAAATGTGCCATTAGATAACTATACATTTATGTTTTTTTTCCCTTTTCCACCAGTATATAAAAGACAGGTACAAAAAATAAACGACTGATTACTTCGCTGGCAGGTGAAGCTCCCACTGTCCAAGTCTCCATGCAGACTGATAGTAGAACTCCTGCAGCTCTTCTGCGACACCAGCTGATGACAATGTCAAAGAAGAAGATGATGATGCTGGTTCCTCTCTGCAGTAAGTGAGTTCTGATAGGCAGCGTTGAAGAATGTAATCAGCACCACAAGATTCAAGTGTCTGGAAATATAATTTCAGCTTATTTCAGGTTGAGACACACTTAACAATGAGAAACAATGATCTTCAGTATTGTGTAAACAAAAAGACATGGTTATGAACTTGTGTTTACCCTGGTAAATCAGTCAGTTACAATTAAGTGTGGTGGTTTCCCTTGTGGACTATGGGGCCTAATTTGGGAGGGGGGAAAACCCTGACCCACTTGTCCTTAACAAGCATGTTGTTTTTAAAAAAAAAAAGGTGCCTAAAAAGATACAGCGAAATATGCCAGGCAATACACTGTGCAATTTATTGTATATCTCTGCTCTGTGTAAACAAGATATAAATTTTCAGTGTGAAGGCAATCCCACAGCTGTGACTACTGTAGGGATCTGAAGTGTTAGGTCTTTACATATTCTAGTCCATGATTGACTTCTTCTTCTGCATTCATTCAACAGCTGTGTGTGTGCTCTGGAAGGAAGTCATGGTTGTTCATCCGTGCTTAGACTTTAGTCCTGCTCCAGCACTGGACTCTTTTGCCCCAGGAAGCCGTAAAATCAACATTTCCCATTGGTACCATTTCTTAGGAAAACCTGCCTTCCTGACTCGCAATAGAGTCATGTTTATAATATCTAGCCCACACCTTCGTACTGATACATGTTTTCCTTACTGCCATGAGATGTTACGCACATGTTTATTTATGTGTGGGTTTGTATGCGTGTGTGGATGGATGTGCCTCTATGTTTGGGTGTGTGGATTGATGTGTGTCTATGTCTGGGTGTGTGGATGGATGTGCGTCTATGTTTGGGTGTGTGGATTGATGTGCGTCTATGTCTGGGTGTGTGGATTGATGTGCGTCTATGTCTGGGTGTGTGGATGGATGTGCGTCTATGTTTGGGTGTGTGGATGAATATGTGTGCATATGTCTGGGTGTGTGGATGGATGTGCGTCTATGTTTGGGTGTGTGGATGGATGTGCGTCTATGTCTGGGTGTGTGGATTGATGTGCGTCTATGTCTGGGTGTGTGGATGGATATGTGTGCATGTCTGGGTGTGTGGATGAATGTGCGTCTATGTTTGGGTGTGTGGATGGATGTGCGTCTATGTCTGGGTGTGTGGATGGATATGTGTGCATGTCTAGGTGTGTGGATGGATGTGCGTCTATGTTTGGGTGTGTGGATGGATGTGCGTCTATGTCTGGGTGTGTGGATGGATATGTGTGCATGTTTGGGTGTGTGGATGGATGTGCGTCTATGTCTGGCTGTGTGGATGGATGTGCGTCTATGTCTGGGTGTGTGGATGGATATGTGTGCATATGTCTGGGTGTGTGGATGGATGTGCGTCTATGTCTGACTGTGTGGATGGATATGGTGTATATGTCTAGGTGTAGGTGTGGTGTGTGGATGCATGTCTGTGTGGTGTTTACGTGCGTTTGTGCAAGCATATGGCATGCATAGACTTTATAACCTTTTCAATGGATAACCACACACCTGCAACAGCAAGGAGACAGAGGACGTGTTGTGAGAGATTCCAATGTCTAAAGTAGTTAATGCCTTCGTCTGCTGCTGCTCATGGAGGTATGTCTGTACTCTGGAAACATGGACATAAATCACAGTACACATTATACGCTGTCAAAATGAATGAAAGTAAAATGTGGTCTAAATAATGCTACAACTGAAACTCCTATAATCCTAGTTAGTTCATTATTTATTAAGAAATATCCCTTCATTACATGCAGGACAAAAACATAAAAACTCAGACTCCTCAGTTGTTTTTTAAACTGCAAACTCTGGTGGAGAATTCCAGTTCAACAAATCAAGAGGCAACTGAGATGTAGTTTTCGAGAAGAATGTTGCGAAAATACCTTGGACTGCCAGAATAACTAACAGTGAAATGGCAATACAACAATGAGAAGGAGACAAACAAAGTTCTGTGGTCATGGGATGAGAAAAGGAGCACTGGAAAATACTGTGGCAACTGGAAAGATGCTGGCTGAAGAGGCTGATGGCTTAAGACAGTGGCATGGAGGAATATCCTCAGAGGAATTAATCCAGAACACCAAAGACTGAGATCTGTGGGAGATGCATGAACGCTAAAGCCAGCGAGCAAGGCACCTGATGATAATAATGATCATAAAAATCTGGAGGAGAGTTCTGGTTGTTTGTCCACGTCTGGAATTTGGTCTTGTTCCAGAATTTGAGTGCACATTAATTTTTTTAGATGTGGCTTATTTGTATACAACTGTTGGTTCCTGGCCTCTCAGGCCGATGCCTTCGAAGGAGACCATCCTAATTAGTCCCCTTTATTGAAATGCTTGTTACAGACCATTAATGTCTACAAAATATGTCAAAATAAAATACCATACTGGACACACAGGCTGTGCCAGATCTAGTTTAGCTGTATGCAGACTGTTGGTTTGTCGGCTTTCAGGCTGATGCTCTCTGCTTCATTAGTAACACCCCTAAATGGTTGCCTTCTATGACATACTTGTGAGGGGGAGAGGGGTGGGGGGGGGGAGTATAATATGTTGGAATTCCCTTAAAAAATCCTTTAAAAGAAAGGCAACAATTTTACAGGGGAACCATGTCGTGATCCCATGAGCCCGAACATTATTGCTATGCAAAAAACTGACATCAACTGGGCATTAAAAAAGCTGTTTTGCTCAAAGAAAAAACTTTTAAATGGTATTTTTGGTTAATGCAATCATATTATGACCTCCTAAATGTTTGCATAGTTGTGAAAACAGCCAATAAAATTAACTATGTGTCCAGTGAACAGCTGTTAATTTTATAATGCATTTGTTTAGTGTCTCTCTTACTCCCTCCACCCATCTAGTTTTTGATCAGCCCCTTGCTGTGTATCCTGCTGTTCTCATATAGTACGCTCTAGCTGCTGGCTGATTTTGTTCCATTCTGACCAGAGAAGTCGGAAAAGTGACATTTATGGGGAAATGGGCAAAGCTGGAAGTGGCTGTTATGCAGTTTCTCAGAACGAAAGGGGTTAATGTCAAGGAAATTTACCACAAAACAACAACAGACTAGTGACCTGGTCATTGGCTGGGCCAGCTTCCCAGCTCCACATCCATAGATACCATCAGGATCTCCAATACTTGTGTACACATCCAGCAGAAGTTCTTGGACACTCTGACCAGTCTCCCCCTGGGAACTGACCAGAGTTAAAGGATCCAGCTGTGACTCCTGGGAGTAGTCAGGAGTCTGAGAGCTGGAGCTGTTTTCTATTGTTGAACTTTGGTTCCTAAAAGGGACATAAATAAACCCATATCGTTGTACAGAGCCTGAAATAAGGTTTTTAAAGGTAAAATTAACAAATATTCTCAAAGGAAAATGAATGATCACTGTTCAGATATTGAACTTTGATTCCAGGAGGGAAGAAAAATGACAAAACTTTTGTTACAATTGATGGTACTTGCCAGAAGGCTGAAAGAGGTGAAAGATAAAGGCTATGTGCACAAACAGTTGCCAAGTGGGACAAAGGTCTTCTTCTGTCTGTCTAGCCCCAATGAAGCACAGGCCCTCAAACCAACTCACACCAAGTCATTCTATCCTTTGCTATCACATGCTGCTCTCCTCATGTCCTCTCCATCTTTTTAACATCATTCTCCAGCTCCCTTCTCCAAGTGTTTTTTTGGCCTTCCTTTATTCCTATGCCCCTATGGGTTCCAATGCAAAGACATTCTAGTTATATTGTTCTCCGGCTTTCTCAATGTGTGTCCTATCCAACGCCAGCGTCTTTTCTTCACCTCTTCGTCCGCTGGAGTTTGCTTAGTTCTGTCTTAAAGCTCTATATTAGTGATTCTATCACACCATTTAATTCCCTCTATTCTGCGCAGGCAACAGTTAATGAATGTCTGTAGTTCATTAGTAATTGCCTTAGTTGCCTTATTAAGGTCAAAGGTCAGAATGATCTTATTTCTTCATTTTTTTTTTAAATTTGTCTGATACTTGCTATTTTACATGTTACTGTATTGTAATTGTTTGTAGCAGAGCTCTGATATTTGTAACTTTTAGTTCCTCTTACTGTTCAGTGATGAATGCTTGATATGCATCTATTCCTGGGTCACAATGAAGACAGTCACTGTGAGATCTTCACTACAGCTTGAAAGTCTTGTCTTTTAAGATCCTTGCAGGATCAAGGCAGAAGACACAATTAGACACGTGTGCACGCTTGAAAATCTTTGGCGAGGAGAGGAGTGGGACAGAGTAACTGAGCAACAATCACACTTGTGTAGGGTTCTAATTACAATTGGTCAGAGTCCAGGGACTGGTCAGCTGGTCAGAGTCCAGGGACTGGTCAGCAGGGATCACAGAATCAGAAATTCAACAGCTGATTCATGACAATTCCCAACCAGGCAATGTGATTATCTGTAAGGCTCTGCGTTGAGAGGCAAAAGAAATACAAGGGGGTTCACAGTAATAGTGAATGGATGATGCTTAGCTGAGATATGAGAACATCTAGTTTGAGAATGGAGATATAAGTGGTCACTGTCACCTTCCATTTACTTGAGAACTGGCTGCACACACATGAAGTGATTGTAACTGACTCGCAAAGCACGCAGAGAAAGGTAGAAACAGGTATGCTTTGTGCAGAGTGGCAAGCATCGCCACATAGGTCCAGGGTATTTGCATCCATTGAATATTTTCTCTAGGGCATTGTTTAGGTTTAAAAACGGATCAGCATCATGACACTAGGGTAGTAACCTATAAGTGCTCCATTTTACTTCTAACTCAAGTCTGAGTCTAAAGAATCTCAGCGCAGTGCACGAACTCCGTAGCACAGGCGATGATGCTGAAAATACTCTGGGCAGATTTCTAACTACAAATTTTGCCCGGGCAGCGCCGTGAGGCTACTCTTTTCCATTTCCAACTGCCAAGGGATTTTTTTTACAAGCGTAACAATACACACGGGCATCCGATCTTACTAACCAGAGACCAGGGAAAAATTACTAGAAATCCACGTGAAAAATCCCAGCCTTCACCGGGGCTCAAACCCGGGACCTCCAGCACTCGAGGCGGACAAAATTCCCTGAGACCACTCAGCTCCCCCCCCCCCTTTTTCCCCCCCAGATATGCAGGTGTGCTGGGAAATAAACAGTCAGACAGACTGGCTGGTTCTGCAACTTAGGGTGGGAAACTGATGCACGACAAGCTAGATATTGTCAAGGCCTTTGGAAGCGAGTGAACAGTGCACAGGCAAAATTAGATTATCAAGGTGTGAAGTGAACAGTGCACAGGCACAATTAGATTATCAAGGTGTGAAGTGAATGGTGCAAAGGCAAAATTAGATTATCAAGGTGTGAAGTGAACAGTGCACAGGCAAAATTAGATTATCAAGGTGTGAAGTGAACAGTGCACAGGCACAATTAGATTATCAAGGTGTGAAGTGAACAGTGCACAGGCACAATTAGATTATCAAGGTGTGAAGTGAACAGTGCACAGGCACAATTAGATTATCAAGGTGTGAAGTGTACGGTGCAACAGGGAATGATCAGAGGATCTGGAAGACACTCCACACTTAGAGGAAAGCCAAGATGGATAAACAATCAGACTACTACTGGTCCTATCAGAGCTGGAGCTCTTTACTGGCTGCTGAAGATGGGAACAGAGCGCTTATGGGAATGTCTCAAGTGCTGTGAGGTAAGTTCCAGAAAATCAATTCAACTTTTTTATTTGCCAGTTGTTGATCAAAGCCTTGGTCAAAACATTTGACTTTTCCCTCATGACCTCCCCCTTTGCCTCATAAAGCTTCATAGTGATAGTCTGTGTACAGTGAATTCATGTGAGATTTTTCCTGTAGGCCAGACATGTAACCTTTGCATTACACATCTGGCTCTTTTGCTGCATTTGTTGACAGAGTTAGCTTTCCCCATTAAATTTGTGGGACACCGTTGTATGTAATTCTCTACTCCCATTAGCCTCTTCCAGGCAATCTTCTGTCTTCTTTTGTCCCATCTCTGTAACCACATTGTAGCCTAGTACTGTGGCTTTCGGGATTTATCTTGTGCTTCTTGGGCGGCTTGGGTGGTGGATTTGTTCATCTTTTAGTAGGTTTTAGCTATACTATTAATCCATCTCTTTCTTGGTCTTCCCCTCATCTTCCTGCCAAATGTTCTATGGTAAAAAGTCTCATAAGCAGTTTGAACTGGGTGCATACACACTAGATGGCTGAACCATTTCATTCTTTGTCTGTCAATATAATTCAGACACTGTTTTATTACAACTTTCTAATGCTGGTATTCATAACCCTGTCTTTTCTTGTCTTGTTACTCACCTTACGGTGACAGCACATTTCAGTTAGTTATCTTCTGTAATAGTACCCTGTTCATTGTCCATGTTTGGCATAAAGTAGTGATAAAGATGTTATTAATCATTAGCTGTTTTGCTGGAAAGGGAGACATTTGGGTGTCTAAGGAATGCGGCTAACTGGTAGGTGACAGCATTTGCCTTCTGTATGGTGGCTTTTCTCTCTCTATCACGTTAGACATCTTCTGTAAATATGCTTCCGTGATATTTGAATTCTCATAACTGCATGACTGTATAGTGAATTACTGAATTCTAGGCAATCACTGTTAACAAATCCAAAACTTACCTCTGTGTGTCCCACCAAATTTCAGTAAACAGAACTGCTGAAAAGTTGGCTGAGCAATACTGAGCTGCCCTGGCCACTTCCAGGTAGTTCAAATCCAACCAAAAATTGTTATGCCAGGCTGTCTGTGGTATACCTTGTCTGAAGTTTGAGAGAAAAAAAAAAGAATATGGCAGCATTATGAATTTCATATCCTCAAAGTATATAACACAAGAAATAAATGAACGGAAACATACAAGTACTTTGGTGCAAACTTCAACGGCTCCAACATGCTGGGAGATGAAATACAATCTAGAATACAATCTGGAAATAAAGTATACTAGGGCCTTCAACATTTGCTAAAGTCAAAGTGTCTCTCCCGCAACACCAAGATCAAAATATATAAAATGTTGATAAAACCAGTTGTTTTATATGGCTCTGAAACTTGGAGCACAACTAAAAGGGATGAAGCATTTTTTTCATTACAGGTTGTCGAAAACAGAGTCTTAAGATGAATCTTTGGACCCATCAAAGATGCAAACAGCAGGGAATGGAGAGTGAGAAGCAACACAATTTATAATCTTCTTAAATCACCATTGATCACTGGCATCATGAGCTAATAGATTGAAATGGTTGGGGCATATTGAGAGAATGTCAGATGACAGAGAAGTGAAAACTATACACAAGGGAGATGAATGGTTGTAGACCACGAGGCAGACCAAGAAGACTATGGAGAGATAATGTCCAGACAGACATGCAAACACATGGTGTCACCAACTGGAAAGAGAAGGCCAGCCAGAGAGATGAATAGAGGCTGGTGGTATCTGCAGCAATGAACCTCAAGGGTTCGGAATGCTGAAGAAGAAAAAATAATAACACAAGAAATATAATCAGATTAATAGCTGGTTAATATTAGCACTGTCAAATAATACAGCAAATCAAACGGCTTGCCCCCTAAGAATGTTTTCTGACACCATACCATACAAGGCGTAAATAAACCAAAAAAGGAGAAAGAGGTAGAGCACGAGGTAGACCAAGAACAAAATGGAACAATAATGTCAGAGAAACTCTATGGTGGAGACGGTCAGAAGAGCAAGAAGCAGAATATGAAACCTCCCTTGACACCCGAAAACGTAATAGAGGAAGTCAAGAAGAAGAAGAAGAAGATGATGACTGTCAAATGATATGTATACTCAACCCTATTTTATGGCAAAGAAACCTGGATAATAAACAAGCAATCAGAAAGTCGCAATGAGGCAGGGGAAGATGCAAATATACAGAAAAAAAAAGGCTCTTTCCCTGCAGTAAAAATTATAACATATTCAGGTTTTAGAAGGACTGGGATTTCTTCTTCTTCAGTGTTCGTACTACAAGGGTGGTTTCATTTTGTGTTGTGATTTACAGCTAAGCTGCAATATTGGTGACTCCAACTTTGAAGGAATATTCTTTTGAGTCTACTTATATGACATGTTTGTTACAAAGGCAGTGGGTCTATTCTTGTTTTTCTCCATAATGGGGCCCTTGAAGCCACACGGGAGAAAACTAGTACTCAAAGATCATGAAGTTGTTAAACATATTCACTAATCTCTAAGCCACACAGCTATACATTCTAATGATAAATGATTAAAGATAAAGATGGTCTCCATGGTGAAGTGGTCAAGCCGTTTGCCTTGCTCTCTGAAGGTCACTGGTTCATTTCCCGGACGCACCATTTAGTTCCCGGGGGTCATAGCTGGAGCTACAAAATGTGTGCTGTGTGTGATGCTCTCAGCAGGTTCTGCCAGTCTATGGGGAGAGAGAGAGAGATCCAGCCACAGAGGACATGAAATGGTACAATGAAGTCGATTCTCCAGACTTGACTTTAAATGAACAAAGAACTTAGGATATACAGGTGTAATAACCTATACCTGTGTTTGGGCCTTGTCTGCTGCCTGAGATACTGAACAACATTGAGCATTGTTCTGACTGACTGTTTATTCATGAAGATAGGGCTTGCAACTGAAAATAATAGTTTAAAAAAATGTCTTTTTGCCTGTATTTACCAATGTTAGGGTGGTACTGTTCACAGCAATAGATGTTAGTACATGTGAAATGTGGACCTTAACAGCTTAACACAAAAAGAAAATACAAGCACTGGAAATGAGATCTTTCAGAAAATAATTCATGGCACATAAATTCAGAAACCATATCACAAATGATCAGTTTGGCCGCATAATTAACCAGCACACTGGCGACTATGAACCTCTTATTTACAGTGAAAAGATAAGAAAATGCAATGGTAAGGACATGAAATAAAATTAAACAGCCTCTCAGAAACAATACTACAGGGATCAGTAGAGGGAAAGAGGAGAAGAGGCAGACCAAGAAAGACCTGAAGACAAAACCTGGCTGACTGAACAGGACTTGGGCAGGCAACCATGAAGTCCATCGCATCTGACCATCGGTGGAGGGAACTGATCAGACAATCAACAGCAACATGTGACCCATCAATATGCAGTGTTATGGGATAATGATTATGATGATGATAATGATGATGACGATGATGATGATGATGATGAGGGCAGTGTAAGAGAGGAGAATTGTGAGTCTGAGGATTTAAGCCCCCTATGGGCAGTACAATCAGCATGAAGTGTCAAGGTTAGGATGTTTATTTTTGTTCCCAACTGAAACAAACTTCCATTCATTTCAAAGGATCGAAACCCTGGTTCTCTAGCCACTTGACCTGTCACTCACTGAGATGAATGTAAATGATGTAAACAACCTTAATTGCATTCATACAAATACATTCATTCATCATCATTTCTCTTTCACAATGGAAGCTACAGCTTTACTTAAGCATAGGGACCCCCCCCCCCCCCCCCCTTCCCCACTTCTCCATTTTCCAAGGGCTATTTGGATATTCATAACATCCCTGGCAGGCCATGCAAAATAAACTATCAACTTAAAGATTAGTCCGCTATATTTAAGCAAAAATTTTATTGCAGCTGCTTTTGAAAAACCAGACCAAATGATCTTGTGTGCCTTATATGGCACACTCTTCAGTCATTCTTCAGTTACTCTTCAGTCATTCTTCAGTCACTCTTCAGTCATTCTTCAGTCACTCTTCAGTCATTCTTCAGTCACTCTTCAGTCATTCTTCAGTCACTCTTCAGTCACTCTTCAGTCACTCTTCAGTCACTCTTCAGTACTCTTCAGTCATTCTTCAGTCACTCTTAAGTCATTCTTTAGTCACTCTTCAGTCACTCTTCAGTCACTCTTCAGTCATTCTTCAGTCATTCTTCAGTCATTCTTCAGTCCTGGCTTAGAAGAATGGACACCGTAAATTGAGAGCACATATTCACCAGATGGTGTGTGTGTGAGAGAGAGAGAGAGAGACAGAGAGAGACAGAGAGAGAGACAGAGCGATACAGAGAGAAAGAGAGAGAGAGAGATAAAACAGATTTACAAAAGCCATTCTGCTCAATAACAAAAACTTTTTCCCTAAATGCTGTTTTTTTGGCAAGCCATTCTGGTATCGTAATTCGCACGTAGCCTTTATGTTTTAATTCTGTCGAGGTCACTAGGTCATGGCGCCAGTCACCTGATACATTTTAATGCCCCGGGGATTGCATTCCATTTAATGTTTCATTCCTATTTTGCGAATTGATTACTCCCTTAATATATTTCTGAAAACAATTTTTAAAATGTAGATAAATAATTGTTATTTAAACCTATTAGTGACATGTGTCAAATGTTATTAACCTTTTTTAAATTATACAGTATGAGAATTCATGCAGGTCCCTCTTTTTTTAAAAAAAGGGGGGGGGGGGGGGGGGGTGGGGAGCGGACGGGCAAAGAACACTAAATATATTTATTTATGCTAACACTGACAAAGAATTATACAAAATATTTATGTATGCCAACACTGACACAGAATTATAAATATATTTATGTATGCCATCATTAAAAAAAGAATTATAAATATATTTAAGCACGCCAACACTGACAAAGAATTATAAATAAATTTATTTATGCCAATATTTTTATAATTCTTTGTCAGTGTTGGCACACAAAAATATTTTCTGTGTCACTTGTACATATGAACACTTTCATCCCTGAAACAGTTCATCATCATCATCATCATCAAGTGTTCAGGTACCTCCCACAGATCTATGTCTTTGGTGTTCTGGATCAATTCCTCATATGATATTCTTCCATGCCACTGTCTTAAGCCATCCACCATAATTTATGTTGGTCTGCCTCTGCCTCTTCTACCAGTGATCTTTCCAGTCATCATGATATTTTTCAGTGCTCCTTTTCTTATCACATGACTTTGTTCTTTACGTAAACAGTCACTAATACAAATGGGCGAAGCAGCAGAAAGGGCTTCGAGCTGGCATTGGAGGCAACGGAACATCATGGGGAATGGGCCTCAGTAGACTGGTCCGAGTTTCTTATCCATATAAAGCCAAAGTGCCCGAGAGGTGTCTGCCAGTGTCTCTCTGCCAAATGTCAAAGTCTTATGAACCAACCTTAAGCTTCTCACTCTGGTCATAAAAGCAGGCGGTTAATTTGCTACTGCAGCAACAATATAACATCAATCTCACAATACCTGTTGCAAGTCATCATATCGTCTTGTCCCTGTCCAAGAGTCCAATAAGTGCAGCAGGGGAAGACTGAGGCCTGAAGTCATGAACCAGGTCGGCTCCCCTTCTGAGACTGTCTAGGAGGAAGTAATGGGCCGAAACAATCGTCGACGAAGGATCTTTCTACTGAAGGTCGGTGAACCCCTGCTGTGCATGCTCCAGTGTGTTCTTTTTTTAATTATATTTATGCCAAAAACTCTTTAAATGTCGACAAATTCTTCTTTGTTGATGTCAAACATTATGGTATTAAAGAAATAACTGATCTATTCATATGAAATAGTTACTATCTTACAATATATTCTTTAGACCAAACAACTGTATCACTTCACTAACCTGTGTTACGAGCTGAATCCTGAGAGTAAACACAGTGAGAATGGAAGAAAGAAGATATGTTGGCAGACAGCACTTGTCTTAACTCTTCATGTCCCCCTCTCAGAATGTCATGAATGAGAAAGGGCAAACTCTCCTCACAAAACTGACTCTGAAAGAATATAAGAATATAATTGTGAGTTAATAAATTAGATTGCTAAATGAACCGAGATTAAAAGTGACAGCACAGCCCCCCCCCCCACCACCCAGGACATTCCCATAAGCACTCCGTCCCCAACTTCAGAAGTCAGCAAAGAGTTCCAACTCTGATGGTATTGGTAGCAGCTTGACTGTTGTTTCACTGCTTCTCAGGCAGATGCACTTCGAATTCGAAGGAAGCTCCCAATTAGTTGACTCTTATGACATGCTTGTTGGGCAGGCAGTTGGCCTATTTTTGTTTTCCCCCACAATGGGGCCGGCCCGGAACCCATAGGGGGAACCAGTACTGAATGTCAGCCACACCTCCTGGTCATTGTCTACGGCATCATTCTCTCCAGACCACACAGGCGCAGGAACCTGATGGTTAAGGACCCCCACTCCCCCTTTCCCATTTGTAGGTGGCAATGCCCCTCATAGGTAATCTGCAGGCAATCTGGCAGCAGAGAGATAGTGCGCTGACTTTGACAATGGTATGAACACTGAACTGTTCAAGAGGTGGTGGCAATGGCAAACTAATGGATGTAAAATTGCCTTTGATCATCTTGTCCTGAGAAAGCCGTTTTCTTCTGGCTTTTGGTTGAGATAATGTGACAGCTTTGGTTAAAGATAGCTGTGTATCCTTTACAGGACATTGCAGAACCAACCCCAGCATTTGTTTTGGCTTTGTGGTTTTTCTAAGAAAATTTTATGTTTAGTAGTTTGTCATTGCTTTCTGAGCGGTCTGCTCTTTGAATGGTCAGCTCCCGGTACCACTGTTGAAACAAAAGACAAATTGTCCGCAGGTGGGACTGAACTCTGCACTATGAAGCATGACAGCTTTGTTACTGGCTGCAAATGCATAGTGTGTGGACATGGTGGGTATGGTTATATATGCACAATTTTTTTTTTTAAATATAAAAATATGTATATAAAAATACATATATATATATTTTTTTATGTCAGTGATGTTAATTAATTTCACTACTGGGTCACACTGCTATATATATGGAAAAATGGCCCAAACCGCACCCAAATGGTTAAAGGAAAGGAAATTTGTAAATTATTTGCTCTGTTTGCATTTAATGATTATTTCCCTCCATGCAGAAATAAACCTGTTGAAAATGTATACTGGCAAAAAAAAATTAATTTCGTTACTGACATGATGTCATTAAAGACATTATCCCTGCCTGTCTGCTCGGTAGCCTAGGTTTCAACTTCTTTAATATATTCACAAACAATGAGCAAGCCTCCTAAATTCTTCTGCTGCTTGTTCTAGTTTCTTAGGGTAGAGCAGTGGTTCTCAAACTTCCTAATGCCGCTACCCTTTAACACAATTGCCCATGTTGTGGTGACCCCAACCATACAATTTTTTTCATTGCTACTTTATAACTTCGGTTAATATGTGTTTTCCAATGGTCTTAAGCGACGATGGTGAAATGGTCATTTGATACCCAAAGGGGCCGCGACAAACATTTTGAGATCCGTCGGGGTAGAGTTTCAGTAAGGATGGTATTTTTGGGGGAGTGAAATTTGAAGAACAAAAAACTTTATTTTTAAAGGTTTAGAAACTGGGCATGCACGCCTGTGTTACATTTGGCCTTTCCTAGCATTCACCTTTCATTTGGCAGTTACTTTTTATATATCAAGTATAGTACCAAGCATCTAGCAAAGCATTTTTCAAGCATCTATAAAAATTCATTGTATAAATGTAAACAAAAAGGAAAAAAAGGTCGTTTTTAAAGATTTTTACAGGGCGAAATAGTGAAACTTCAAATAATTGAGTCTCCTCCCCGTGTGGATTCCGGGGCCCTGTTACAGGAAAAACAAGAAAAGACCCACTGATTACCCAAAAGCATGTTGTAAGAGTCGACTAATTGGGACCTTCCTTCAAAGTCGGAGTGCATCTGCCTGAGAGGCTAGGAACCAACAGTCAGCATGCAAATGAGTCAATTATGTAAAATAGATGCACACATAAGACTCAGGTTCTGGAACAGGACTCCAGTGCAGACCTAGACAAACAGCCAGAACTTTCCGCCAGAGCTTACAGCTGGTGAATGTGAAGAAGAAGCAGACTGAGTTTGTGATGTCCTGTAGAAGATTTGCAGCTAACCAAACAACGTACCTTAAGAGCACACATTGGGCCAATCATCTTGAGTATCTCATCTTGAACAGCTTCAGTGCTGAGTAGAACTGTTGTCAGATCTCTGATCCACACTTCATGAGATGGGTTCAAGGTGGTGCTACTGCCCAGCCACAGTTCGGATCTGTCCACTACCATCTTGAAGCTGTCATAATTTGCTTGGGTCAAAGTTGGGGGAGCCATATCCTGTGAGGAAGTGAACTGGTTACATCATCACAGCAGAAAAATAAATATGACCATCATCATCATGTGCAGCGCCACTAAGCGTAGGCTGTCATGTTTCTCCATCTCACATGATCATCAGGTTCACAGAACAGTTCCATGTTTTTGTGTCGCCCCATTCAGCCATTTATCTCTTTGCCCTCCTCCTTTATGAAGTAGGATATAAGTAAGTAAAGGACCCTGTTCAAGCCAGTACTGCATCAGGTATATTTTATGTTTCTTCTTCTTTATGTTCATCAGCTGTAAACGCCTGCAGACAGTTCTGGTTGTTTGTCCACTTCTGGACTTTAGTCTCATGTGCTAGATCTGATTTTTGCATGCACATCTGTTATACAGATCTGACTTAGCTATATGCAGACTGTTGATTCTAGAACAAATGCACTCGTGAATTAGAGGCAAACCCCTAATTAGTTGACTCTTATGATGTGCTTGTGTGCTTGTTAGGGAGGCAGTGTATCTACTCCCCCCCCCCTCCCCCCAAATAGGGCTCTGGAACCCAAACAGAGACATCAGGCATTTAATGCTACTCATATTTTCAAAGGCCAACTGTGTGATGTAGTCAACTTCCTGCTGGCTGCCTTTACTTGCCAGGATACTACCAGGTACTCGGTTTAGGTTGGTAAACCTGGAAACCAAGGTCAATTCTTAAATCTTGTCTCAAATCAGAATCGAACCCAAGATCTGTAGACAGGCAGGCATGCAAGCTTCTGCCACACTATGTATGTTAATGCCGCTCTTAATGATATTCAATCAAGAAATCAGCAAGTCCTGTAGAGAACAATGTTGTCTTCAATGCATGCTTTAAAATCTTTCTTTCTCTAGCCATTTCTCCAGCCCTGTGTGCTTTCATAATCAATGCATCTATTGGTTTGGGTTTAGGTTTAGATCAACATCATGGCACAAGGGTGATAACCCATAAGTGCCCCATTTTACTTCTAACTCAAGCCTGAATCGGAAGAATCTCAGTGCAGTGCTTGAACTCCGTAGCATCGGCGAGGATTCTAAAATACTTTGGGTAGATTTTTAACTCAAAATTTGTTTCCATTTCCAACTGCCGAGGGATTTTTTTACCAGCAATACATACGGGCGTCCAATCCTACTACCCAGTAAACAGGGGAAATTACTAGAAGTCCACGTTAAAAAAAAAAACCCAGCCTTACCCTCCAGCACTTGAGGTGGACGCCAAGCCTCCAGACCAGGCAGCCACCCAGTCAATACATCTATAATGTCCTGTATCCACCTTCGTGTAAGTGTCACAGAACGGATTTGAATTGTTCTCTGACTTGCCCGCAAAGAAGAATTCAGGACCACTAAAATAAGGGAGATAATACTGAGTGAAAATAGCGGAGGCGCCAGAGAAATTGCATTTTTCAATCAGCCTCACAGTTAGCAGTAGAGGATATATTTTAGAAATCTATAAATAGCTAGGAGCAGTCTCGAGAAGGAAGAGAAATCACACATGAATTTTAATTGGAGATTGCAGAAACAAAGAAATGCACCCGCACTGCCAACATAGAAGCATACTGTAGGCATAAAGATGGCCCCACCAGCTGGCTGTGGTAATGAGCTCCCAGGCTGCAAGGGTATGTGTGGTGTCCAATTCAAGAGAGATGCAGAAACTGGATCCTGAACCCACTGACTAGGTGAAGCAATTGCAGTCTACAATCTGCCAAAAGTTTTATATGGTGTTCAGGAGACTCCAGTCTGATCCAAGAGAAAGGCAAAAACTGGATTTTGAACGCATTGGCTTCAAGTCAAATAACTCCTTCACCACAGATGAGACACACTGGCAGAACACTTACTTTTCGTCTGCTGGCCCCGCTCTTAAAGGGCTGCAGGTAATGAAACAAAAAGCTCTTGTTCTTCAAAGCCTTGGAGTACTCAGCCTCAAAATGACACCCACTTTCTGTTGCCATTATTTTCTTCAGGATGTCTCCAGCAGTCTTGACCACATCTAGGCTACACAAAAGAATTACAGAAACATCAAGGTGAATTGTTTGTTGTTAAAAACTAATCTCAGCTCAGTCTAAAACTGGTACTAAGATATGTTTTAGAAATTAAAAGTAGCTGGTGGGGGAAAAAAAAGAAACTTTGACATGCATTAGCAAGGCATCTGCAGCTTTTTAAAGTTTAAATGAAATATGGAATATGAAATTTTTTGGAACCAAATCATGTATTTTCAAGCCTAATGTTATAGCTGAAGTATAAATTCAACTGTTATGTTTGATCGTTGTTGAATTTGTACTTCAATTATAAAGGATTCACTTATCTGCTTCATTTATATAATTGCTACTGCAGTGTGCACCTGACAAGATACAGCTTATTATTTAAACCTAATTTGCCACATCAATTAAATTACACATCAATTTTCACAAAAGCATCTCACCTTCTATCCAGCAGACAACAATCTAAAGCATGAAACAGCCAGCAGTATTTTCCATAGCTGTGATTTTTAAATGCCTCTGCAGCTACAACATGACTGGTTTCCACCTGCTGGCGTGGGAATGACAAGCTCTGTAGATCTATGGGACCAATGGCTCCAAGGCAAGCTGCAGACGCTGCAGCCACTTCCTGGTGCTGGGATTTTGCCATTTTTATCAGTTCATGCAGAACCTTCTTCAAAATTAGAAGTCCTGAAAATGTTAAATAAACAACAGGTTTAAAAATTATTCACAAAAAAAATTGGTCCCGAAAAGGGTAAATAAGTGACAAGTTCAAACATACTTTAGGCAGAACAATTAGTCCTAAAATTATTAGACAAGTGACAGGTTAATTCCTTAGGCGCGTGCGTGCATTTCCCCCTACCCCCCCCCCCCCCCACAAATTGCTTTATGGTTTTTAACCATATACTCACCTTTTGAGGTTTTGACCAGCTCCTGAACCTCTCCATGTCTGTGGGCTAGATAGGTGGCCAAATGGCTCAGCCTGATGGCTAGACCTTGTGATGGGTTGTGGGACATGAGGAGACACACTTCCAACAAGTTTTTCAGTTTCTGTTGATAACCAAAAACGACACATACAAATTCATACACAACAAACTGTATACTCTAAGAAATTAAAGCTGTCTTTCTTCTTCTTCTTATAGTTCAAGCTGTGTGGCGTTGGTAGTCATGTCTATCCCCAAACTTCTGTCTTGCGTACCTTCAATCAATTCTGACACAGATGATCCTCCATGTCATGATGTCAAACTGTCCAGAATCTTCTCTCTCAGCATCACTCTGCCTCTTATCCAACCAACTTTCCCACCGTTACGATGAACTCCTGTTTTCTCCTTCTCATGATATGACTAAAGAATGTAGATTGTCTCCTTCTCGAACGGGTAATAAGTTCTCTTTGGGTGTCACTTTCTTTCAAGACATCTTCAATACTCTTTTTAATCTACCCAGGTCATGCTGTCTGTAAAAACACATTTTCGCCGTTTCCACATTAATGTTTCACTAATTATTCAACTGTCCATGACAAGGGGTCTCAGGACAGGATTAATACAGATACTGAGAATTCTCTTTCTCATCTCAACTGAAGAAAAACTGTCTTTACTGCCTGCATTTCCCACTTTTAAGGTGGTGCAGGACACAGAGCTTGTGTGGTTGAAGACTAAATACCTGGACATTTGTATATTTTTCTGGGTTTTTTTCCAGAATTAGTGGGCTTCGCCTGCTTTAGTTTGAGCTATTTTCCTTCTAGAAGTGGCTGGAAAGCCAAAATCCATACCTTTGAATCCATAATTTTTTTTTTTTTTAACTTCAGTACATTCTTTTCCTCTTTCCATTCTCAGGCAACCAAATAGGCTGTGTTTTATTGTTGCTGTTTCTTTGAGATGTGACAGATTATTTTGTAAATCTACATTACCAACATTATAAGTGCAAGAAAAAACCCTGATACTTACCACTTTAAGAGTCTGTTTGCAGCCTGTACTTCTCTGCTCCAGCTGGGCCCTCAAAAGTGAAAGGCCTGGAGCATCTGGCAGAGGATTGAGAATTCTCATGGCCTTGGCCAAATCTTCAACATCATTAACCGACGCCGATAAAAGACTGCTGAGAAATTCTGTCGCTGAGTTGCAGATGTTTTCACTCAAGGTTACTGTGTCAGCTACAGCGTCGATGATTCGGTGAATATAGTTTGTCATCTCCTGAGTAGATTTTACATACAGAAAATTAATATTACCCTGAGATCCCCAAGCTGCTTTCTATGCTTTCTTAACAAGCATGGCATAAAAGGAGAGTGGTTAAGGGTTTGCTGCAATAAGATATGTTGAAACGAAAGGTGTAGATATTGCAGCGTTATCTGTAAACAACATAAGGTGGCAGCTTCCCTTTGAAGGGTAAATGAAGGTGAAAAAAAAAAGAAGAAAAAAGGAGGAGCAGGAGAAGGAGAAGAAGGAGAAGACGAAGGAAGAGATGAATGAGAAGAAGCAAAGAAGGAGAAGACAAAGGAGGAGGAGGGGTAGAAGGAGGAGGAGGAAAAGAAGGAGGAGGAGAAGAAAAAGCACAAGGAGAAGAAGAAGAACGACAAGAAGAGGAAGAAAGAGAAAAGGAGGACAGGAAGAAGGAGGAGGAGGAGAAGAAGAAGAAGGAAGAGAAAGGAAGGACAGGAAGAAGGAGAAGGAGGAGAAGAAGGACAAAGAAAAGAATGAGAAGAAAGACGAAAGAGAAGAGGAAGGAGGAAAAGAAGAAAGAGGAGAAGGAAAAGAATAAGAAGGTGGAAGAGGATAGGAAACATCAGGAAGAGACAAAGGAGGAGGAGAACGATAAGATTAAGGGGGAGAAGATAAAGAAGGAGGATGAAGAGAAGCAGAATGAGGAGCACTAGAAGGAGAAGAATAAGGAGAAGGAGCAGGAGGAAAAGAAGAAGAAAGAGATAATGAAGGAGCAGAAGAAGAAGAAGATGGAGGAGGAGGAAAATAGGAAGGGGGAGAAGATGAAGAAAGAAAGAGAAGGAGGAGGAAAAACAGGAGGACAAGTAGAAAAGGAAGAAATAGTGGCCGCACACTGAGCTGTTTGTTAGTCACTAGTGGAAGTTGCCACATCATTGCAGATGGGCTACCCCATAGCCGCTCTGTTACTGTGTATGTGGAAATCACACAAAATATTCTTTTACTGCCTCAGTTACACACACACAAAAACTTGTCAGTCCCAGCACAATCCTGAACATGCACAGCAGAAATTTTTAAGGCACCTGTCAGATGTGCCAGGATGCACATTGAGTGGAGCAAGTTAATATTCTTTCAATTTCCACACGCTTTGTTTTATTAGTTCTTTTCTTGCATGCTATTCCTATTAATGAAAAAGATCAAAAGAAGAAATGAAGCGATGCAGCAAAGAGATATATATACCTCAGGGCAAGTCGTTAAAGCAGACGAACAAAGTTTGTGCAGAATGTCCAGAGTAGTTAAAACCACATCTTCCTCATAGCTGGGAGTAGTCATTGCGGCTCTGTGTGTTCTGAAGAGAAAAAAAAAGACTCAACATTATTCAAAACTGCCAGTGTCAGTCGACATCTTCCTCACTGCTGGGAGTAGTGATTGCAGCTCCGTGTGTTCTGAAGAAAGAAAAAAACATTATTCAAAACTGCCAGTGTCAGTTGCAGTGGATTAGCCCATATGATGCCAGTAGTTTAAAGTAATTTTATCTTATCATGAGTATGAATTTCATTGCTGCTTCTGACTTTCTGTTCTCCAGTTTTTGCATCTTTGACAGGCTGAAAGGTTTATCATTAAACTGTTCTCAAGTTTGGAATAAGGCTTCGCCTTTCTGTTTTTGTTTTTCATGAATGAACAAACAAATGAATGATGAAGAACTTACCACCCTGCACATGGGACATTTTCACATGTGCTCCATCTCCTCTTCAGTGGTCATCCAAGAGTTGATATGCTAATAGTACTTGTTGCAACCTGATTAACTGCAACCGGATGAGTTGAGTTGAGTTGAGTCAAGAATTGACATCACAGCACTCGGGGCATTCCCATGCATGCTCCATCCTCATCTTCAGCAGCCAGTGCAGAGTTTCAATACTGATGGTACCTGTCACAATCTGGTTATATGTCAGTCTTGCCTTTCCTCTGAGTGTAGTGAGCCGGCCAGACCCTCTGGTTACACCCAGGTGCCTCATTCTCTGCAGGCCATAACAATCTTGTTTCTTTACTGATTCCGTTGCTTGTTCCTAAAGGGATTTGACCATATCGGCCTTGTCATGTATCAATTCACCACCTACTGGTGCGAATCCAGCCAATCTGTCTGCCTGTTCATTACCCACCACGCCAGCATGGCCTGGAGAAAAGATCCAAAGTATGCTCACCACCCGTGACTTTTCCAGTGAAGCTAGCAACTCTGTTCCAAGCATTCCTGTCTTCACCTTTTTCAGCATGCTTTCAGAGTCTGTTACAATTACAACATGTGTTTGCATCATGTTCTCTAGCCACCGGAGAGCTGCAGTTACCGCCTCCACCTCCATTCTCATGCTAGATGTTGTGGTGTCATATGCTAGGCTGTCTTGCACTAAAGATGTTCCATTGGCTTTCACTACACTTCTCTTTCCTCTCAACACTGAACCATCTGAATAGATAATCAGATTACTTGGGCCTGAATTGTCCTGAATCAACTGTTGGGACTTCAACCTCCATAGCACCCGCTGGTCAATCTCTGCAAACCCGGCCAAATGTTATCATAACCCTACACAGGTCAGACTTTCCCGGTGGGAAAGAATATTCAGAGATGATTGTCTTCCAGACCCCCAGCTTTTCCCCCACAGTGAATTTGTCTGTCAATGTACAGATCTTGGCCTATTTTACTGCACTGTTCACTTGATCACCGAGAGCCTTCACCACTTCCACTTTATCATAACGTAGCTCACTACCAATATGAGCGGCAGCAGCCATTTTATCAGCTTACACTTTACCCCGCACACCTGAATATCCTAGACAAAAAATAAACAATATGCTGCTGATCAGTCTTATCAAAGGAAGCAAGCCAATATGCACATAGGAAGGCCTGTTTCTATTTTTTGAAGCATGCTCTGTGAGGACATTACAATGCTGACATGTCGGAATGCTTCCGTCACCATTCTCATATTGGATGTTGTGACTTATACGCAAGATTTTCTGTTTTTAAATAGTGTCCATTAAACTTTGCTCTGAAAGTTCCTAAATGGTTAATTCTTATAGCTGCTGTTTGCTGAAAGTACTTGTTCTTTATTATTTGTGGATATTTTCCATCAATGTTTAATTTTTTAAGTATTTTGATTATATCTTCATGTTTCACAGTCAGAATACTTTCATACAGTCAATGAAGCGTAAGTGTAAATGAGTGTTTGCTTTTATAGCTCTTTCTGACACATGTATATAGCACTGTTTGTACTTTCCCTTCTACACTGGATTCCTTCCACAATGTTCTTCACTAATTTCTAGTTTAATATCTTTGGTTTTCTTATTCTTCTCATAATTAACCTCAATAACCTCTTTGTCACATAAAAAAGTAAGTAAAGGTCCCTTTTCCACACCTTTAGGCGTACAGGGCATAAAGGGCTAGACATATATTTGTATAGACCAAACGGCACAAGATGGCAATGTGGTCAGCATCACGCCGGCCGCCTTTACTTCCCAGGACTGTACCCAGTACCCACTCAAGGCTGGCTCGACCTGGGAGTCAAGGCCATTAAAAAAAAAGTCCGGCTCTGCCAGGGAGCCAACCCATGACCTTCTCATCCGAACGCGAGCGTCTAGCTGCTACGCCACGGCGACTCTTAAAACATTTGGCAGCTGTGGAATTTGAACCCACTCCTCCAAAGAGACTGGTGTCTCAAACCAGCCTTAGACCGCTCAGCCATGCTACCACGTTCTTTGTCACATGACTCATCAGATTTATTTTGTGATGGTCTTGACATTCTTAAGTGCCTGGTTTCTTTGGCCAACCTATTTGTTTCTATTACCTGTCTATTAGGATGATGAGCAGCCTGTTGATAATTTCCCGTATGACGGAAGCCCAGCCTCCCTCCAGTCCACCATCTAACTCCTTCAGCAACATGTTGACAAACAGTCGATACGCTTGCAGGTGGCGCTGCTGGTCATGTGCTCGATGTTCTTGGAAAATCAATGTGGCCAGGGACAACAACACCTGATACAAGCCTCCCTGCAAAAAAACAAAGTATTTATGTACGTAATATCATGTAATTTCAAAATAATAATAGCAGAAGGTATAGTACTTAGGAAAGAAAAGAAGGAAAGAAAAGAAAGAAAGAAAAAAGGCAGTATGAAGGCTATTTTTACTAACAGGTATTTCTTACTAAACGTGACAGTTTAACACCAAAGAAAAACTATGTTTCTGACAAACATACTGAAAAAAAAAATATACTTTTATTAATCTGCACTTTAGATTATACATCCCAGTGAAGACTATCACACACAAAAAGCATACTTTTACAAACCTACTAGTTTGGCTAGCAGATAATCACAAAACTTACTGGTATTTTGGCTAGCACTGTGATCAAAGTAGCATTTCCTGGCACACTAGCAGCAATGAAGTTTTGAGCCAGGTAATCTAAAGTGATCTGAATTTTTCTGGGGCTGTAATGTGGTGGGTTGGGTTCTGGGTACACCATGCTGTGGGCGGAAAAAAAAAAGGTTTACAGCAGAGGTGAGGCGGGATCAGTTTGCATGTGTAAGTGTTAGCAGGTAACAATTACGCTGGAGAGGGTATCACGTGTTATTTTCCTCATTGTCGCTTTGCTGCTGACAGTGCGTGCGCAGCTAGGAATGCAACATTAGTAACTGGTAGCTTTCACATGTTATAGTTCCTGCATGAGTAGTGTAAGCATGCAGCAAATGATCTTCCCTATACATTCAAGACCCAAACCAAGTGGCGTATTTGTAATCAAAGGTGATCATCATCATCACCATCATGTAGCAGGTATTTTGCAGAACGTCGCTCTCATCATGGTGTGCCGGAAAGAAACCCGGTCTCTTGCTAGCTCTCCTGCCTCATGCACTTTCATACTCAAGGAGTCACTCATATCCTGTGCCCATCTCTGTGTTGGTCGGCCCCTGCCCCTCCTTCCTGGTACCATGCCTTCTGTTATAATTTTTTCGAATCCGTTGTGGTGCTTGATATGACTAAAATATTTTAGCTTCTGAGACAGGATGCTGTTTATTAGCTACTCTTCTTTGATGTTCAGATCTTTCCAGATGTCAGTATTTCTCCTCTTTTTCGTCTAAGATATTACGAGAATCTTTCTATAGCATTTCAACTCAAAAGCCCCTATTCTCTTTCTTAAGGACTAGGAGATAGTCCCAACTCACATCCGTATGTTACTACAGGGAAGATGCATGCTTTAAAAATTATAATTTTGATCTCCTTGCTGGTGCTTAACCAAAGACTTTTTAGGCGTAATCAATAGTAGACAGTAAAATAACGCCAGTTTTTATTTGCCAATGGAAAGATAAATCAGCGATTACAACTATTGCATGTACCACTAGTTTATAGGTCAGAAAAATAGCTTCATTACATCTAGTTTCTTCTTAGTGTTCTGAAGCTGAATATTCTGGTTGTTTATCCACTTCTGGACTTTGGTATTGTTCCAGAACCTGAGTTTTGTGTGTAAATCCGTGTAACAAGATCTGGCTTACCTGCATGCAAACTGATGACTACATGCCTCTAAGACAGATGCACTCTGATTTGAAAGGACCCAGCCCTAATTATATGACTTTTACAACATGCTTTGGGGAAGGAGGGGGCAGAAGGTGTTTGCCCCTTCCCCCCCTAAAATGGCGTCCCGAAACCCACACAGGGAGCACTTAGTTTCATAAAGAATGGCTCTTTCTCTTTTTCTCTCTCTCTCAAGCAGCCAGCTGCCTGCTAAAAGCATGTGTGTGTGTGTGTGTTTACATTCAGTGGCTTTTTACACAAGCCTCATTTCAATCAACTGTTATTGTAGTATGCACCTGATGAGATCCTAACCCACATCCCTACCTGCATAGGACTGCCATTTACACCTGGCTGGTGTAGCCAGTGTTGGGCGCCCTAATTACAAGTTCTTTGGAGGTTGAACAGGATATCTGGGATCTGCCTTGTTGGTCCACCATATAGATTGAGATTTTTAAATCTTAGGATGGTAAGCTAAACGTTTAGGTAACAGCCTGGAGGGATAAACCAATCACACACTAACCCATTCAACACCAAGCAACTCATACGTGTTTTTTTTTTACTAACAAGCTTTTTTTCTTAACTATCTGCACCCTATCCAAGTACTATACAATTCCGCTCTGCCGTTATTATTTTACCATCTTTAGACCTAACAGTTAATAAGACAAAGTAACTTCTTCTTCTTCTGCAATTGCATGGTGGTAGGCATGTTGTATTTTGGTTTACCACACAGCTGCAATGTCTGTGTCTTTTGACCCTTTTCAGCAAACCTTTTATGACATGCTTGTTAAGGGCTAGCTGGGTCCCAGAGCTCCCACAGGAAGGACAAAGTAACAACTTTCTAGAATATAATTAGTTAGTATAACAGCTGTCTGGCAAAGAGTTCAAAAGACTGAAAACTGATTCTATAGTTAGCTGCGTATCCTTTACAGGATGTTGCAGAACCAACACCAGCATTTTGTGGCTGTTGTGGTTTTTCGAGGCTCATTTTATGTTCAGTAGTTTGCCACTGCTCTCTGAACGATCAGCTCTCTGTACCACTGTTGAAACCAGCAGAAAACATTCCGCTGCCAAATCATCTGCAGCAGAAATCAAACCCGACATTAGAAGCGTTCCCACCGCCCAAGCCACAGACGCCAACCTTAATTAGTAGGCATTTTATGACACTCTTGTTAAGGGTTAGTGGGACCCCAGAACCCATACAGGGAGGACAAAGTAACAACTTTCCAGGATAAAATTAGTTATTGAAACATCTATCTGGCACTGAAAGAGTTCAGAACAAAACTGAAAACTTATTCTACAACAAAGAATAATCTATCAGAAAGAACAATCTACAACAAAAAAAACAATCCACAAAAAAGAACAATAGAAGTTAAAGTCGAGATAATCAACTTCACAGCAATGGGTTAAGATGAAGCATGAAAACTGATTCTACAATAATGAACAATAAAGGCTAAAGGTTAAAGTCGAGAGAATCAACTTCATGGCACCGAGTTTTATCCCACATGGCTTGGTCTCTCTCCACAGAATGGATAGCACCTGCTAAGAGCACTGCACAAAGCAGAAACATCATAGCTCTGACAATGATCCCCAGTAAAAAAATTGCATTCATGCCCGAATGATGCAGCTGTGAAACCAACTCACAGCCTTCAGAGCGCAAGGCAAACAGTTTGATGACTGCGCAAAGGAAACCCTGAAACAAAGAACAATATGCACACATACTGCTGCTCATTTACCTCAGTGATGTACTTCCTGTGGCATCTTCATCAATGTTTAAACAGTTGAGAATTCCAACAATGATATCCCCTAGCTTTTCATATGTACAATCCTTGATTGTCTGGAGAATAATAGAAAAAAAAAAAAAGATTTAAATCCATGATTGTCTGGAGAAAAAGAGAAGAAAAAAGATTTAAATCCTTGATTGCAAAATAGCGGAAATGGAATTAAATCCTTGATTGTCTGCAAAAAATAGAAAAAAAAAATTAAAATCCTTGATTGTCTAGAGAATAACATAAAATTATATCACTCCTCATTGGCGTTTGTGGCTTAGGCATTGCGAACGTGATTGGCAATGCTGAGGTGACGAGGTTTGATTCCAGCTGCAGGTGGTTTGGCAGCAGACCCTCTTGCATTAGTTTCAACAGTGGTACTGAAAGTCAACCGTTCAGAAAGCAATGGCAAATGAATGAAAATAAATTTGACTAGGTAAACCACTGCAGCCAAAAAATGCTTGGGTTGGTTCTGCAACGTCCTGTAAAGTACACACAACTAGAAAGAAAAAAAGATATCATATACCCTCCATCCCCCTCTACAGCAGCTGGCTCAGAGTTCCAATACCAGTGGTACCAATAGTAGTCAGATTATATGTCCATTTTGCCTTTCCTCTGAGTATCAGCCAGATCTCCTCGTCACTACCTGCTGCATCACTTCACCAGACTGTGATGATCCATTTACTTCTGTTGGTGTGTTGGGAAATGAGCAGGCAGATAGACTGGCTGGCTCTGCACCACTTGGTGGTGAACTGATGTATGACAAGTCAGATATTGTGAGGGCTCTTTGAGTGAACAGTGCGGAGGTGCAGACAGATCATTACGGTCTAAGGAGTATGGCGCTGCAAGGAGTTACCAGGGTCTCGCGCCGACGCTCAACACTCAGGGAAAGAATGAGACAGATATACAATCAGATGGTTAATGGTACCATCGAAATTGTATTTCTTCACTAGCTGCTGACGATGGGGACTGGGCACTTATGGGAGTGTCCCAAGTGCTGTGATGTCAATTCTTAATTTCACATTACTCCTCCAAATTTTACATATGCTCACATAAGCCCTTAACCGCATTTGCCTTATGATGATTCAGTGTTCCACTGTTGTGCAGTGCTAAGCAAATTGTCTGCCTGTTCATTTCCCAACATACCAATAGAAGAATGATGACAGGGTGCGGAGAAAGATAAAAGAGTCCAGATTGTCGATGTACCTCCTTTCACCTACGAGAATCTGGCAGCATCCTTGTAAGACTGGGAGGACATGGGGTAAGCTGTATGCAATAGCAAAGGACAGAGTGACTTTGCATCCGTCATTTGAAGGTCTATGTGAGCTGTATGCCAACGTAAATTCAGTCCTGACAACTGAATCACGGTACATTTTCGAGGAGTCCCCTCGAAAGGTTACTGGAATCGTTTCCATGTGTGACATTTTAATATGCTTACAAAGTCCTGTGTTCTAAACATATTCGTATTACAAATCTACAAGTGGATATTGTGAAATGGATATACAGCAGTTTTAATTTTAATTCACGGAAGACACTCGTGCTATGATGTGTGTGTCACTATTTCTGGTCAGTAGTTTGGACTTTTGGGAACTGGTTGTTTATTCTTTTTCTACTTTGAATGTAGAAATCAAATTGTGAATAAATTGTGTCAAGATATTTCTGAGCTCTGGGTAAGTGCATAAAACTATATTTTATTTACTAACTAACCTCTCACAGCAAGTCACTCTTTGCCTCTTTACTAATTTTGACTAACAGTATAATTATATGTTGTAGAAGTACACTAATAATATCAATCCTTAACCATTTGACTGATGCTTTGCGGACACTTTCTGTAAACTCTTGCGGAAGCTTCTGGTTGTTCATCCACTTCTTATGCATATTTGCAGTTGTACGGTCTGTGTTAATTTTTGTAAATTGGCTTTTGCATCGTGGACACTGGCTGTAAACTCTTGGGGAAACTTCTGGTTGTTCATCCACTTCTTATGCATATTTGCAGTTGTACGGTCTGTGTTAATTTTTGTAAATTGATATGTGTATGTTGCTCAGAAATTTGAAGTTATATGGTCTTTTTTAAATTGCTTTAATTACCTTTAAAATAATATACCATTCATGATACTTATACGTGTTGTTGCATGCAGTAATTAGAAATATGTTTGATGTATTTTTAAACAGTTACCAAAAAATTCGCAAT